ATACATCAGAAACAAAAAACTAAAACTCAACTCCTCAACATGTAACTGGAGTTGGTAAAATACAAAATGACCCCTACAAATAAAACACAGACGTAGCGATCACAACACGCCCCTTCAAGCGAAGGAGTGAATATCCAGAAGTCTGAGCTTGACGAAGAGATGATGAAACTGATCAACACTCAAGCCCTTCGTAAACAAGCCGGCTGGCTACTCTAAGCTGGGTATCTTCGCCGGGGCAATCTTGCGAGTCTGGACACGTTCACGAACAAAATGACAATCCATCTCAACATACTTAGTCCGTTCGTGGAAAACCAGATTAGCAGCGATATGGAGAGCATCCTGGTTTTCACATAACAGTGTGGTGGGAGTAGAAAACAAAACACCCAAATTGCGAGGAAGCCAACGAAGCCACAACACCTCACTGAAAGTGCTAGCCATAGCAGATATTCGGCCTCAGCAGAAGAATGAGCAACGATCGTCTGTTTCTTCGTGCGCCAGGAGATAGGCGAGGAATCAAGGGTAATAAAGTAACCTGTCGTGGAGAGGCGAGTGAGAGGACAACCACCCCAGTCTACATCACAATACGCGCTCAAGGTGAGAGGAGTGTCGGCTAGGAAGAAAAGACCTCGACCAGGAGAGGACTTGAGATAGCGAAGCACACAAAGAACAACAGCTTCATGTGCCTGAGTGGGAGTCTGCATAGCCTGACTGAGAAGATTGACCGCATAGGTGATATCTGGACGGGTAACAGTGAGATAGAGAAGACGACCCACGAGCCAACGGTACGCCCCCGGATCCGCAGCTGGAGGAGAGGTGGAGCGACCGAGATGATGCTGCTGCTCAATGGGTGTAGAACAAGGCTTAACAGCCTACAAGCCAGTATCAACCAAGATGTCTAAAACATACTTACGCTGATTGAGGACAATGCCACGCGAAGAGCGAGCAACTTCAATCCCCAAGAAATATTTCAGCGGACCAAGATCCTTGATGGTGAAGCGATCATGGAGAAAGGTCTTCACACGAGTGATGAACTCCAAATTGGTGCCAGTAAGAATAACATCATCGACATAGATGAGCGCAATGACAAACGTGGCACCACGACGATAAGTGAAGAGAGCATGATCAGCCCTGCTGGCCACAAAACCAAGCTCAAGGAGTGCCTTCGTGAACTTCTAATACCAGTTACGAGAGGCCTGACGTAGACCATAAATAGATTTATGTAAATGACAAACACGATTATCACCAGGAGCAGCAAAACCTTGAGGAATAGCCATGTACACTTCCTCGTCAAGATCACCATGCAAGAAAGCATTATTCACATCCAGTTGGTGAATATGCCACCCATGAGTAACAGCAACTGCCAACAGACACCACACAGTAACTAATTTGTCAACCGGAGCGAACTTATCATGAAAGTCCACTCCCTCGATCTGTGTGAAGCCTTTCGCGACAAGGCGATCCTTGAAGCGATCAATGGAACCATCCGGGAGAAATTTGATCTTTTACACCCACTTGCACACGATACACTTCTTACCAGGAGGTAAAGGAACAATGGACCAAGTACCATTCTCAACCAAAGCAATAAACTCACGTACCATAGCATCCCACCAGTGCTTGTACAAAACAGCTTGGAAGAAATGCGCCGGCTCATAGGCAGCACTCACCGCGGCAACATAAGCATGATGGGCAGTGGAGAGCTGATGATACGTGACATAATCATCCCACGGATAGCGTACAGTAGCAGAATGAGCAGCCCCAGGGAGCTCGACCTCAAAACCCCGCAACCGAGTGGAAGGAACCCGAACCCGGTAACTACGCCGAACAACAGGAGGTGACGGGACCGGGGAAGAAGCTAACTCGGGAGGAGAAGGTACCAGGGAGGCCGCGGGACTTGTCTCGGCACCAGGCGAGTCGGGGGAAGAGGTCGACGAGAGTGGTGACAGCTCGGGCGAAGCTGGCGAATTCTCCCGTCGTGGAGTAGAAGGCGAAGGAGAGGTCAGTTTAGGAACCAGAGTGGGAGGAGCTAGTGGAGCAACATCAAGGCTGTCTGCTGCATCAAGGGAGGTGGGTATAGAACTGCTGGAATGGGGAAATGAAACCCCAGCTGGAGTGGGAGAACCCGCCTCGCCAAAGTCACCATAGGGAAAAGCGGCTTCCACGAACTGAACGTCGCGGGAAGTGTAAATAGTGTGATGCTCAAGATCATAAACTCGATATCCACGCTGCGAAGAAGGATATCCCAGAAAAATACCTGCACGACTATGCGCACCAAACTTGTGAAGCCCATGGTGATTATCACGGGCATAAACCAAGCAGCCAAAAGTCCGAAGCTGATCATAAGTCGGAGTTTTCTCGAACAAAATCTGGAAGGGTGACTTGTGACCAATCGTAACCAACGGCATCCTGTTAATGAGATAAGCTGCTGTTAAAATACACTCTCCCCCAAACTTGATGGGGAGATTAGCATGGATGCGCAGAGCACGCGCAGTGTCCAAGAGATGACGATGTTTACGCTCCACCACCCCATTTTACTGTGGAGTGTCAGTACGAAAGGTCTGCAAGACAATTCCTTCTTGTTCATAATACGCCGTCAATGCAGTGGTAGAAAATTCAGGTCCATTATCAGCCTGGATCCGCCGCACCTTCTTATTAAACTGCGTCTGTACGAAATTGCAAAAATAAAGCAAGTGGCGAGCAAAGTCGGACTTATACTTCAAGAGAAAGACCCAGACAACATGACTAAAGTCATCCACAATGTTTAAAAAATAATGAGCGCCAGAAATCGACGCTGTCTTATAACTCCCCCAAATATCAACATGTATAAGATAAAAAACCGACTTAGTCTTAATTGTGTTGGTCTCAAAAGAATTTCGAGTCTGTTTAGCCCGTATACAAGATCGACAGGGCTCCTTATTGTGAACGAAAGAACAATGAAGTAAATCCTCCAAGACATGTAACTTTGCTGCTGAAGGATGCCCAAGACGCGAATGCCACAACTCCATGCTATCCAGGGATCGTCGAACTGAGTGTGCCATCGGGTGGTCCGGTGCAAACAGACGTAGAAAGTATAACCCATCAATGTGCTTACCCATCCCAATCAACATTTTGGATGGTAAGTCCTAGATAACACAGAAGTCACCCAAAAATATCAACGCAACTGGGAGATCAGCAGCAACCTACTGACAGAAAGTAAGTTGCACTGAAAATCCGGAACGTGCAGAACACGACGTAAGAAAAGAGCATCAGATAACTTCGTCATCCCAATGTTGCGAACCTGAACCCCTATACCGTTGGGAATTTTAACATGAAGAGCGGGACTTGGGTCCAACTCAGAATCCAACAAGGCAGCATTATTCACGATATGCTCGTTACAACCAGAATCAATAACCCACGAAGCTGAACTAATTGAAAAAGTACCTGCCATGTTGGAGGAGGGCTCGGCCGACCCATGATGTAGATCACCATTCAACAGTGCCTTAAGTTGCTCAAACTGGCGGGCCGAGAGACCAGGGAGAGGGCTCTCCGCAGCATCAACCTGTGCAGCTTGCGGATTGGAGCGCGCCCCACGATCGGAACGTCGACGAGGAGGCTCGCCTTTCTTGGTATTCTTGGGCGGAAATCCAATGAGACGGGAGCACGTCTCCTTGAAATGCTCAGTGCGCTTGCAATGCGAGCATTTGGACTTCCCATCTGCATCACGTTCCTTTTCCCCATTGCGGTCAGCAAGTAAAGAGCTGCGATCCACCCGCTTCTCCCCCTGCACCTGGAAAACGGCTGCTTCGTGGCGAGGACGCCTACTGGAGGTAAATAGCCGTTGTTGCTCGTCGTTTGTCATGAGCTGGTAAGCTTCAGCAAGTGTGGGTATGACTTCATTGCCAAGATTTGGAACTTGACAGTGGCAAAAGCATCATCTAGCCCCATCAAAAAATCGAACAAACGTTCACCTTCCTGTACTTCTCTTTGGCGGCGCTTAACATCACAAGTGCAACCAGAACAGGTGCACGTTAAAGAAGGGGCAAGAGATTGGATCTCATCCCATAAACCTCTCAATTTCGTGTAAAAGGCAGATACAGACGCCTTTTCTTGTTGTAAGCAGCCGATGTTTCGCTTGAGCTCGTAGAGGCGGCCACCACTGCCCTGCCCAAAATGACCTTGAAGGTCTACCCATATTTCGCAAGTGGTAGACGCAAATCGGACACTGCTCCGAACTTCCTTAGTCATGGAGGTCTTTAACCATCCCTTAACCATGGCGATACACCGAAGCAGCGCCTACCTTTTTGGCATGAGAAGTAGCTGGAGGTAGGCTACCATCAACAAAAGACATCTTGTTTTTGGCAATCAGCAAGTCGGTGATGTCGACCACCCACTCGCCATAGTTTCCATCCGAGAGCAGCTCACCGACGAAGAGATTGCTCGGGCTGTCCGACGGGTGAAGAAGGATATGTGACGGCAACACAGCGTGTGGACTAGAACCCTCGACCACCGACGATTGAGGAGCCTTACCGGAGGTTGAATTCTTGCCAGAAGTTTCATCGTCCGAACTCATGATTGAAACTGTGGAGTCTACTCTCTGCTCTGATACCATGTAAAATTTGAGAAACGGGGAAGTAAAACGAGACCAGGATTTACGTGGTTTCCCCGTTCAACATGAACGAGACTAGTCCACGGAGAGCTTGAAGCTCTCAAAGAGATGGAATTATAATGGTGAGTTCTTGGTGTTAGGGTTCGGCCGCTGCAAGCCTCGCCCTATATACATCAGAAACAAAAAATAAAACTCAACTCCTCAACACGTAACTGGAGTTGGTAAAATACAAAATGACCCCTACAAATAATACACAGGACGTAGGGATCAAATTCTTCATGGTACCAGAGCAAAACTCGATCCTTTGTTAGGGTTTTGAGCTTCCGCAAGTTTTTGTCTTTTGTCTCGCAGTCTTCGTCAATCAGCAGCCACGGTGAAAGAAATTGTTGGCTGATTGGCTCCAACTCCGACTCCAACATCAGGTCGCCGTTGTTTCCCAGTCGTGGTCGTTCGTGGTCTCTCTCTCTAAAGGTCGTCGGTGCATCTCTTCACAGTCGCTGACTTCAGTCGGATTCAGTTTCGTCCGCCTCGATCTTTTCATCAACACCAGTCGCCGACGCCGAGTAAAGGCCATCGTCAATGGCCTCAACTCGCCGTCGTTCCTCTTATCATCATCGTCATCCGCGTCCCGACGTCGTTGACTCATCATATCGCGGTTAATTGCCGCTGATCTCCCAGATCCGTCCAAAAGATCACCGCTGTCGATTCGGATGAGCAGTCCAGCTCTCCGTACGTCGGGTTAACCTAGGAGAAGTCCGTCCGCTGTGGGTCGCAACTCTATCCAGTCACAGCCGTTTGTTTGCTCAATAATCCCGGCGTTGCTACCATCCTTCGCCGTTGCTGTAATCACCACCGACTCCATCCTAGTCAATTCCGAGCAACGATCTTATCTTGTTCCACGGTTCTCGATCTGGATCTCGGACACCATCAGTCTTCAAGTCACTAGATCCCGTCGTAGCCATCGTCGTCAACAGCAGCGCAGGCGACATTGATCCCATTGTCCTCGCTCCTCGATATCGTTGCTAGCCTTACCGGCGAGCCTCCCCCATCAGTTTTGGCTGTCTGCTGCCGCCGATCTCTGCTGCTGCCAACCGCTCAATTTGTCACAGCGGTAGTAGAAAGGGAGCCACAGTTCGAAACCTCAAGGTCATCTCTCCACAATGGGCCTCCTAAGGTTCGGTTTCATGATTTGGGCCAGGTTGTTAACTATTTGTTTGACTTCCACTCAGGTTGTTAACTATTCTTTCTCCCCAACATTTCAAGAAATCAAGTTGTCATTGTGGATGATTTTTCTTCATCGGGGTTGAGCAGAAGTTTTTCTCTTCACCAACATCATAGTCATGGCATTGAAGATAATCGCGACTTGCAGTTGTCGCTCCTTCAATAGCTAGTGTTGGGGAGAAAGAATAGCTTCTGTCAACAAAATTTTCAAGTCATCAAGCGAGGCTGTCATGTTCAAAGAAGCGATCGTCTCATCCGTGTTCAGCATCGGTCAATGTTGAGTCATCACCATTCTAACTTTCAAGCTGGGCATTCACATCGTTCATGCGTCAGCTTGAGCGGGAGAATAGGGAGTCAAGTCATTCAGGAGATGCAGTCAACCATCTCCACCATATCATACGGATAGACGTAGTCAATCGTCTCCGTCAAGTCATTCAAGAGACGCAGGCAACCGTCTCCGTCAGGTCGTTCAAGAGATGCAATCAACCGTCTCGTCACGACGTTCAAGAAGATGCAGTCAACCATCTTCATCAGGTTGTTCTAGGGGGAGAGTCAGTCGTCTCCAAATCAACCTCGTCCGAGATGTTATTCATCTCGAGTTTTGTGGTTCAAGTCATCATGCTTGTTCTTCACATTTACTTCTTCAAGCTCGACATTCTTGTCATTCATGTCTTCGCTTGAGGGGGAGTGTTGCGGTTACTTAAACCGTGTTAGTATTGGGCCTTGATGGGCCTCGTCTGATTCGTTGAATTAGGGTTTTAACCTAAATTTATCTATATAAGCTTAGCTATCGACTTGTGTGATAGCAAGACGTGAAGATGTAATCCTAATAAGAGATCAGTCGTGAGCTCTTATGAGCTCACCGTGGATTAGTCTCGATCAATCAATCGATCGAGGATACCATGTCATGAACCAGTTGGTCCCAATAACTCAAGTTGTTGGGAGAAGGTTATGCTGGATCTTATACCACACTCTAACACGTCCCCTCAAACGAAAGCCAACCCATGAGCTTGAAGTTTGCATAGGCTCACAATACCTTGTGCTTTAATCAACTGTTAGTATTGGGGGTCGTGGAGGTTCGAACACACGACCACTTGGTCAAACCAGCTCTGATACCATGTCATAAACCAGTTGGTCCCAATAACTCGAACACGTGACCTCAAGGACAAACCAGCTCTGATACCATGTCATAAATTGGTCCCAGAGTTATTGGGAGAAGGTTATGCTGGATCTTATACATGTCCATGTATGGTACTTAACCACTTCCTTACAAAGGACGCTCTTAGTTTGTCGATAGCATGACAAGAAAGATGCTCCTAACTCTAGGGACAGGGGAAGAACATAAACTCCCCCGATATAACAGACGGGTGGGTCGGTTATGTCACACCATCTAACAAATTGGATTGGTTCTTTCTTCAAAACAAAAAGGGGAAATCTCAAGCTCTGGGTCAGGGCATATGCGGTATGCCAGGTTGGTAAGCACATCAGTCTTCAGAAAAAGTTCAAAAACTGAATGATGTGAGGCTTACGAGTTCAAGTACGAAGAACCAAGTAATTTAACTCCACTATTCCGGGACTAGCTGGTGGATTAACAGGCTAGAAAGAAGGCCATAAAATACCAGGAACCAAGATCAAGTCAAAGGCTTCACCTTGTTTGTAACAGCTCGACCCAAAAAGGGAGGATAATATAACACAGAGAACAATAAACAGGGGAAACCTATTTAGCTGACAGTCACTGCTTCAGTATTATCACTAGAATTCAAGAGCCAGGAACCAGATATGAGGAGCAGCTTATTTCAGTTCCTTGAGTAGTTTCTCCCAGAATAATCTTCCCGTACCAAGCAAAATGCCAAGGAATTGTAGAAGTTATTTAGTCATTCAAGGAAATCAAAGCAGCGTAACCCACTAATGAAGAATGTGTAAGAGTACAACTTCCAACTTACCCGTATATAAGCACGAGAGTATGCATTTCAAAATTCAGAGTCATCAAGTTTCCTAATCTGGACGAAAGTAACCCATAAGATAAGAGAGACGTCAACGAATGTGAATATTAAATTATCCAAAGAAAATATTAGGGAATGGACCTACAGCATATTTCATATCATCATAGCTTGTGTACTCCACAATCCCCCGCATGCCTACAGAACCAGAGAGAATCAACAGGAACAGAAACATCAATCAAGGCTCAAGGTTGGTCAAGTTCCCAAAACTCAAGTAATTTCAGTCAAAAGCCAAAGGGCTTCAATCTAGAACATGAATATCCTATGCAAAATCAACTTGAATATACCTCCCCGATCACGAAAGACCTGAGAAAAGCAGACATCACCAGCTCGGCGCATATGATCCTGATCATTAAAAGATGGGAAAACTTAGCCAAGGTTAGTGACATTCTTAGGATCCAACTAACATTCACCAGCAGAAGAGGAAGCAAATTCAGCTATATTTACCTTCAGGTCTTGCCATGAAGTAGAGGAAGGCAACCCAGTGACAAGAACTGCATACAGAATCGATATGTAATTCACAATCAACTACCAAGACCTAAAGTTAAACTATCAGGGGAATGAAAGAAAAAGGTACCGCGATAGTCGGATCGCCTTGATGGTCCACGACTGCTGCTGCTACTGTAACTGTCATAGCTATCGACAGGCGATGAATGCCTGCGGCCTCCATGAGCAAGCTCAACCTGCAAACAAAGGAATGCATTCAGTGAAAATGAAGACACTGGCCAAAAAAAAATTACCTCCCAGTCCCAGATCCATCTTGTAATTAAGAGACTTACTCTTAGGCGGTGACCATGAAAGTCATATCCATCTCGACCATGAATCGCATCTTCAGCATCGTGAGGATCCTCAAACTGATACTAGATAACAATTTGGAACCACATAAATATAACAAAACCCGAATCAAACTACGATGTACATGACAAAAAAATCAACCCAAAAGATAAACAAAACCTCCGGCTACTATTAGAGTTAGTCAATAAAGTTGTAATACCACATTGATGGTAGAAGAAAAGTATAAGAATTGAGACTTTTGTCAGTTTAATTAATTAATTAAATTTCTATAATTTGTAGTGGAGGCAAATAAGACTTTAAGGAGAGTGATCTAATCACGCCTTCAATCGATTCTTTCCTACCAGTTCCTGACAATCTTAAAGTGTTATTTACGAAAAATGGATTCTGAAGTGAAGAATACGTTGAAGGCGTGGCAAGAGGAAAAAAATATTATGACATTCATTAGAAACCGGTAACATCCTGCTTCTTTCTGACTATAGATTTGAGAATGGATATATTTATATATATATATGGTGATGACTGGTGTACGTTAGGCGTATAGTATACGTCAGGTGATTTAGCCGTTAGATGTAGTTAGATGACCTCCGGCCAATCTCAACGGTCAATTTTTGTTTTTCATTAAATCAAACTTTGGGTTAGGGTTTAGAAAATCGGTGCCTGGGGTTTATCCATTAGAGGTTAGGGTATAGTATCATACCCCAAACTCGATTTAATTCATGGTCTAGATAGTGATATCTCACTAGTAGTACCTGACGTATAGTATACGTCTGACGTACGCCAGTCTAATATATATATGGTGATGACTGGTGTACGTTAGGCGTATAGTATACGTCAGGTGATATATATATATATATATATATATATATATATATATATATTGTATATGTTGTTAATCTTTGTAAGATTAGCGGATCATGCACATATATATTGATATGATCCAAATTGGCCACTTCTACAAGTCACAATTACTTGCCAAAGAAGATATCAAGGTTGGAAAGAAGAAGGGCAGAATTTGGCTAAGTCAAAATCCGTGTTCAGGGTACATACTTTGGAGGCATGGTTCTCTCAATTGGCTTGGTGGAAATTCCATTTTAAGAGTTTGTTTTACAGATAAAGTTTCCACCTTTCCAATGGTATGCTTTGTGAATCCAGATGATGTCATTAAGGTTGTTTTTCAAGGCCTCAAAGTTGCTACCTCAAAACTGGAAAACTGCCAGAAAATGGTCAAGTCTGGAAACTGTTTTGTGAAGCCTACTTTGGAGCTTAATTCGAGGAGTATGGATCTTATTCAAGTCCAAAGGCTTCCACAACGTGAAACTAGGTATGTTTGTGAACAGAGGGAAGGAATTGGTTGAAGAATTGGAGTTCGGGAAGGTCTCGAACGAAAGGCGCGAAGTTAGTACGAAAGCTGCTTTTGGACTGTTGCTGGCAGCTTACTTGCGCTTGAAGAAAGGGAATTTAAACCCGAATTTTGTGTCCTTTTTAGTGTAGAATTTTACCTTAATTGTTTATTAGTTATACTATGATTGTATTAGGTTTTATTTTCCTTTAAATACCGATCTATTTCGTTGTAAAATTAAGACTTTGTTGAATAGAAAAGAAACCGTTTGGTTTGTGCAAGTTGCGACTTGTTTTGGGTTTGGTGGATTCCAACCTTGCTGAGCTTGTGTATCGATTGAATAGTCACTTCAATCGTGGTCGAGCAACTACCCTTTCATACCAATCGAGCTATCCCCAGGTGTGGATTTGTCCTTTTGGTTCCGTTTTATCCAAGTTCGTATTAAGAACGCTTCGTTCTTGATTCGAGCTCAATCGATTCTTCGATTGAGTCGTTTGCTGCGTGACTTTGATAACATACACCCCCCCAGGGGCGTATCAAGTGGTATCAGAGCCCGGTTCTACACAAGGGCGAAGGAGAAGAAGAACTTGTTGTTTCGTATAAGCAGTTTTATCGAGTTCCAAAACAGGGCAGCCCCTGTTTATGCTTTGCAGCTGCTGTCCAGAGCTAAATCGCAATGGAAAACGTGGCAGGAGCTAAGAAGTTGGTAGAGGGCAGCACAGAGGCCAAGCAGCCACGAAATTGTAGCAAAGAAACGTCTCCAGCAATCATAATCAAGGATAGAGAGTCTGACGAGCAGCGAGACAACTTATTTCACAGCCGATGTGAGATTAACGGCAAAATCGCTTCGTTGGTGATCGATGGAGGGAGTTGCGCGAATTTGATCAGTACGTATGCCGTAGAAAAGCTTGAGTTGAAAACCCAGAAGCACCCTAAACCGTATCATCTCACCTGGCTCAACGAACATGGAGACGTGAAGGTCAACAAACAAGCACAAATCGAATTCAGCATGGGTAAGTATTCGGATTTTGTGCTTTGTGACGTAGTGCCAATGCAAAACGTCCATATTCTGTTGGGTAGACCATGGCAATTCGACAGAAGGGTGTTACATGATGGCTGGGAGAATTCTTATACATTCAAACACGAAGGCAGGAAGATCAAATTGAAGCCTCTATCACCCGATCAAGTTTTTGATGATTTAAAACAGATGGAGGAGAATCGGAACGAAGGAAAAAGTGTTCAAGCTCAGTTGTGGGTTCAAAGGAGTGTTGGGTTCAATTTTATGAGTCTCCGAAAGCTAGCGAGGGAAGTTACAGAATCGAAACCACATGGGTTCAACGACCCCTGTTTTGTTGCTGCTAGACAGAGTTTCGAACTTCCAAACCTTGTCAAGGAAGAAGAAAGTGAGCTAAGGAGCGAGACCACGCCAGATGCCTTCCTTGAGGTTAAGGGAACGACTAGGAGTCAAGAAGAAGCTCTGGATCGGGCTGGTGATGATCGATTTCCTCCCTTGACGACTCTGCCACCACTCTGCCACTTTCCAGAAGAACAGAGTGTTGCAGAACAGAGCGCCAACGACGACGATCTCGTCATGACTACGGGAGCAGATTCGAGTGAGTCCGCTGCTACCAAAATGTCCCAACAATGTCCAGGAACTAATTCGACAGATTGGTTCAAGCCAAATCAGGTCAGTTTTCCGAAACCAATTCGCGTGCCAACACCCCTAGAAACGCTCAAGAACAAAGCCAAAACTACCGAATGGGTTGGGGAGATCGGGCATGATTCGACACCACAGGCTGCTGCGGAATCAACACACACAATCCCAGGAAGCTGTAGGATCGCTCAATTGTCCGCGAAGACTCCTGGATTACAAAACCCCAATTTGCAAATCTCCAACAGAAACTTGAAGAAACACGACCAAAAAATTGGTGAATTGGTTGTGGAGTTTGAGGGCGATTCGGAGCCAACCACCACTTCGAAGAGTTTGATAGTGTCCCAAGGAAGGTGTAGGACACGAGAAATCGCGACGAAAGTGCCCAATTTTAAAACGCCCAAATTTTGTTTTGCGTCGCCGGAATCTGGGTTTCCTTCGCCGGATTCTGGAAAATTTGAATCCTCCGACGGCGGGAACCATGGAAATCAACAATTGACGCGATTTTGGAAGAATCAAAGCGTGGTAATGGGCGAAAACGACTCAATAGCGCCAGGCGGATCGATTGGAAGTGAAGAATTGGCTCGAAGTGGCCTAGACGCGAAAGCCCCAATTTTGAAGAACTCGCTGGAAACCTTGAACCCGCCGTATTCTGGGAAATTTTCGCCGGAGTTCAAAAATGTGCACGAACTGATTTTGGTTCCAAATTTTGGGGATTATTGTGTGACAGGTGAGCCTTGGAGTCCCACGACGCGGCTGAAACTGACTGAAAAGGGATTTGAAGCTTCAAATTTTATGCCGAAAATTGAGTTTGAGCAACCTACTTTCGATCCACTTTGGGATCAATTCCGTGACGTTTTTGACAAGAAGCAGCTTCAAGCTTTGAGGTCAAAGCTTTTTGAAGAGGGGGAGCCAATGATGTGATATCGACTAGCGCGATATTCAATTCTCGTGGTCCCAAAATGAAGGTTCAAATTCAACGATTTAAGGATCAACTGGGAGCATTCTTGATGGATAAAATGGAGAATGCATTAAGGATCCAACTTACAACATTTCTTGGAGCCCAAAACGTCATTCTTTTGCTGCCCAAGTCATCCAAATGTGAAAAGGACATGGAAAGAGATTGCTTAACCACTAAGGAGCTTCCTTAAGCATTAAAAACGTGTTTGGAGATTACTTAGCTGCTAAGGAGCTTCCTTTGGTCATAAAAACGAGTTATAGTCCTTATTTAAGTAGTATTATGTTTCCTAGTTAGTTTGTGATTTGTTTTCCTATTCCTTTTAGGCTAGATTTATGTTTCTATGACCTCTATAAATAGAGGATGTAAGAGCTACGAATTTTGTACCCAATATTCAAGTTTCAGCAATCAAATACAAGTGTTTACAAGTTCAAGTGAACGTTTTGCTTATTCGCTCCTTTGAGGATTCGGGAGGTTTGAGTGGTCTCTTATCAACTAGAGAACGCATCTAGTTGTGGCGAGCATCGACGATATCGATTGGCCTCTTCCATGGGTTCGAGATTGTTTGGAAGGTTTCATATACCTTCTGGCCCTTCTCACGAGTTCGGATTTGTTTGATCGATTCCGCAAGTATCAGTATTTTCGAGTTCAAGAAAGGCGGCATCAAGAAAATCAAGAAAGTCAAGAAAATCAAGAAAATCAAAGAATCAAGAAAATCAAGAAAAGATCGTTTTCAAGAAAATCAAGAAAAGATCGTTGGAGCTGCGTACTTTGGTCTTATAATCCGAGTTCGAGGGTTATCTTCGGATTTGGATCATATCAAGTGGTATCAAGAGCCCGGTTCAAACGCAGCGGAGAAGACAAAGATTCTTGGAGTTCTTGGTAGTTCGGGAAGCATTCTTGGACGTCTTGAACGTCAAGAAAGCAAATCTTGAACGCTCTTGAGAGTTTATTGTGTGGCAAGGTATCTTGAAGACAAAGCATTCGTGGGGTTCTTCATTAGCAAGATATCATGGCGGAACAAGCACAAGACGTGGCGGCAATATTACAACACATTAGCGCGCAAATAGAAGCTTATCGTCAAGGGCAAGCACAAATAAATGCGAGCCTTACTCGATTGGCAATTTCATGGGGAATTAGTGCGTCAGCCGTGATAATCCAACCAGAAGCTCCATTGAAGATAGGGAATCCAAATCCAGAGCAAGAGCATTCTTTTGAGGCTACCATAGAGACACAAGAGACAAGTCCAGAAGTCTTTGACATCAAGATTCAAGCAATTCAACATCAAGACGAGGAGGAGTATATTGAAATCTCGCATATGGAAGGTCGACTTTTGGATACTTGTTGTGAAGAGTATGAAGATTTCGATGAAGTGGAGGCGATACAAGATATTCTTGTTGAAGTTCCATATTTGAGTGCGCAAGAATTTGACCAACACAATGAGGAACAAGACTGTCATGGAGAAGATGAAGCCACGAAAGTTATGGAGCACTTACCAATAGTTTCCAAAATTGCTCATATGGA